AGTTATTAGCCTCCGTCATTATTAAGGTTCTTATCTTCTATCCTGAAGATAGAGGCACGATGTTACTCCAGAATATTGATAAATATCTACCAGATCACACGGCATCATATCCAGACTACTTCTCCATATTCACCGCTGTAAGAATCTCTGATCCTACTACCTTTCGGTTTTTCTGACTGTCCGTCCATCCACCCGTCTGTCCAGCGATCCGGCAATCCAATTTAATTGTAATCGAATTTGTTCTGTCTCCTCTGTCCATCCATGTCCATTGATCCATGTAGGTTATGTAGTCTATTTTGTCTGTCTCCCTCTCTGTCCATTCTGTACGTCGTTCATTCCTTATTTATCTCATTCGTTTTATTTCTCTTCTTTCTTCACTTCTCTGTCACTGCGTATTACCTCCTTTCTTCCTTTTGAGTATCGTCAGATCCTTTTTAAGGGTCTTTCTCCCTCTCGCGGTTCCTATTCATAGTTTGTATTTCCCTGGACCGAGTTTCGTCTAATCTTCCTCTCCCGTTGATCACTGCAGCCTCGCTACATTCACTTACCCTAAAGATGGAGGCAGCATGATCCTCCGAAACGCTGATGGCCACCTCTTCTATTATCCGGGGTCACAGGCCCAGAAGACTACAGTCCTAATTGTCCGTACTTCCCAATACTGAGCAGTAAACTTCAGCAAACCGTAGAATTAGTTTCACGGGCGGTTTTTGTATTCTCCAGTTTGCTCGCCTTTTGTTCACACCGTATGGGCCATGCGAGGTTGTCTTCTGTCTGTTATTCCCTTCACTGCAGTACGCCCGTCTTGCTTCGGGAGAGAGATGGAGGGGCGTGATGTGCTTCATTGACTGTAAGGCCAAGGAAATTCAAACAGAAATCGCCTTCACACCCACAGATATATGTATGTACTTTCAGCTCTAAAGGTAAAAATGATATATATGTACGAGTATATATGTTACTATCAGAACAGAAACACCTGCCCTCCGGTGACTTGTCCCTTCTTCAGAAGAATTAGTTTTATATTATGATATACAAAATCTGCGCCTTAATTGTCCAAGCCTCCTCTTTCCTAATGTTTTTTTCCAATGGCTCTTCCAGCTCTTTGAAGACCTTGGCCTCTTATTCAGTTCTATAATCCATTTTCACAGACGGTAGGACACCTTGGACGGGTGATCAGCTCGTCGCAAAGCCTCTACCTAAACACAGGACAACAGAAACACGGCTTAAACACACACACATACCAAACATTCATGCCTTGTGTGGGATTGGAACCCACGATCCCAGCGTCCGAGCGAGCGAAGACTTAGACCGCGCGACTACTATGATCGGCCCTCGTTGCTAGTAACAAGCTTTAATGAAGAACTGAAAAAAAAAACCGAATCGCTTTCGAAAAATTTTTTCCGGATCTTAATTTTCCTTAGATTAGTTCTGAAATATACATTAGGTATCTAATTTATACTGAAACATATATAATTTTCCGCTTTTAAGAATAATTACGACTTACAAATCTTTACAGTCAATTATGTTGTATAATTCGGACTGTTCGCTAATTCAGATTAATTCGAATTTATGAGTTGCTGCAAACTCCGTCCCAAGTGCAAACAATATATATTATATGTCTTTGATCTTGTTCTCTTCTACACTACATGTTTCGGCCTCTATCGGCCATCATCAGGTGTATACTCTTAACGTTGCTGCCACATTGAACCCAGTCTAAAATTTAACATTTAAAAACACATTGTTATTTTCTTCGTATTATCAACATCTACCTCGTTGATATGTGTCTGGTATATAGATTATATTGCACGCGTCAAATTTGATTTTCCTGTAGTAGCACATATAAAATCTTTAGTTATGATTTTAAAATCCTTTAAAAATTTTTCCAAATTTAAAATTTAAAATTTAAAATTGTTAGGGTTACTCGCCCTATGTCTAAAGTGCTGCTGCGGCTAGTTCTTTCTTCCACAATGTACAGGTGTTATCTGTAATATACAAATATTCGTATTATTATTTTATGTACGTAATGTTTTCTTATGTGTGTATATTGTTATTTGTACTTACTCTATGTAGTCTTCCTGTGTGCCTGTCTTGTTCTCTTCTACACTACATGTAGTGTAGAAGAGAGCAAGATCAAAGACATATAATATATATTGTTTGCACTTGGGACGGAGTTTATATCATTTATCGTGTAGAGTGCAACAGGATGCTTAAATATAATATTGCTGCAAACTGTCCGATATAATTTTCAGCTTTTTGAAATTTTAACTTTTTATCCACGTTTCCATTAAGCGGATCCGGCCGTCTTACCTTTCAGGTACTTATAAAATTCACACCTCTTTGTTGATACAGTCGAGCTATAGTAATTTACTAAAACAGATTGAGAAGCATTGCTTTGTGTATCTTATTTGCGTTAATAAAACCTCGTGGATTGATAATGGCTTTTGTCTGAATAATAACAACAACAATTTCATAAATGTAACCTTCGGTCTTTGTACGTTTTCGAATACCTCTGCTTATCAGAATTTCAAACAATTTAAATCCTATAGGCTACTTCCATTGTGGTTTCACTGTCCTAATGAAAGTAAGTTCCTAGAAATACACAGGTTGGGCAGTTCTGTATAATAACTGTGTACCTTAACACTGAAATATTTTCAGTACTGAGAAGTGTACAATTTCAAAACGGCCATACTCATGGAACATTGGAAAAGTAAGATGTGTTTCTGTGACAGTAGAGATAGGGAGAATGAGAACTAGATTACACGGCAGTAATTAGAGGATTGTTCTTGAAGGCATGGGCAGTAGTTGGGACTATCGCCACTTGGTGCAGTCATCTGTTTCATTTTGCTTTAACATGGCCATTGCGGGCTCATCATATTGAACGTCCGATTTGGTCCAGTGTGAGTAGCTTTCATCCTCTTCTCTGGAATGATCTGAATTTTCAGAATTAACTTAATAGCTCGCCTCACGGTTTTAGAATCTTGTTAGGTTCAGGCGCAACATTAAGGGATTCCCAGAAGCATATTTAGAGAGAATGTAGTGTGGTAATTTGATACTGTACAGAATCCATGCCATTTTCTTTACCCAGTTTCTGAGCACGCTGCTTTGTTAATAAGAGGGCTGTTAACTTACGGATTGGTTTAACTAAATGAACAGTAAATGAACAGAGCAGTTGATAGTTACTCTGGGAGTGAAGAAATTTCCGGCGTTTATGTACCTGAATTGTCCATTACCATATTCACACACAAACCCATCATTGAGCCTTATCCTGAGATAGTTCTCACCAGAATAAGCAGAGGATTTTGTCGAGTCCACTGACTGAGAGAAGGATTGTAGGTTGTGTATGGTTTAATCAGACAAACCTGGCTTAGTGTCAAGTTCCCTTCCTGATGCATTGCGTATGGGCAATCAGTAAGAACTGGTTCTTTTCGCAGTGGCACCTTTTAATACGTTGAAAGGGGAAGTTCTCTACAGCAGACCGTTAGAGATGACAAGGAACACATAGATGCATGAAGAGGAATCTTGTTAGGGGCATGCGAACAGACGTCAAGATTAGCCGAGTGCATAAGCCAGGAACCTGGAATTAAAAATTAACTTGACGTGAATTGATTTGGTTCATCAAAGTCATTTGCAGCACCCTGTATGTAAGGGATATATATAATATAAGGGATAGAAAACCCTGGAGGTCAGCATTGGACAGTTTCGTTGAAACCTTACTTCGCGATACGGTACAAGAAGTCAGCATCACAGAGAAATGGCATCATTAAGAAAAAGATTAAGTTGCGCCTGTGCTTAATTCATTAAGCAGTACGCCATGAAGACACGCGCAGGAGAGGGATATAGCTTCATCAGTGGTCAGCTTCACGTCCCTACCGCTTTACCCCCAAGAAAGAGCCCCGGTACCCACTGCACAGGAGGTTGGGTGGGCCCCACAACCTATCTGGAAGCTGTGATGAGAGAAATTTTACCCCGCCGGAAATCAAACCCCAGCCGTCTCTTAGTAGCCCATCACTAGGCGCACTGAGCTGTTCCGACGCCGTCATTAAGAAATACACATAAAATTAAAACAGCCGATAGACTTACAAGGAAGCGTTACGTCATTAAGAAAAATTCTGTATTCCTTGGGTGTTTCGTGAGGAAGGAGCAAAGCAAGCGACAGATTCTGATGGAGAGCCATAACTTAGCAATACAGATAACCTATTTAATATTATTATTAGTGGGGCCACGCGGTTTAGGTGCTATGCTACAAGCCAGAAGGTCGCAGGTTAAAATCCCGGTGAGGTCATTGGATTTTTCAACTGACCAAATCCTTCAAGCCGCACTATGGCCCTGGGTTCGACTCAGCCTCTAACAGAAATGAGTACCAGGAATCTTCCTGGGGTAAAGGGTCGCTGGCGCGGAAGATTCACAACCTTACCGATTGTCTAGAAAATGTGGGAGCCTCTACGTTTCACAACCCTGTGGGCCTTCACGGTCTGTTACAGGGATAGTTTTACCTTTTTATTATTCTTAGTGGGATGTAACTGAGTCCACTTGGTACTGCGGCCACTACTGGCCTACTGTATCAGCTCCAGATGATGATGATTGTGGAGCAGTTGGTGGAATGAAGATTGGCAGGGGAAACCGAAGTACTCGGACGAAACCTGCCCCAGCACCACTTTTTCAACCAGAAATCCAACCCGGGCCGCCGCGGTTGGAAGCCGGCGACTAACCACTTGAGCTATGGCGTTGCCCTGCAGATAACCTAACTTAGAGCTATTCGTAAGTACTCGAATAATGTACACAACTTGTATTTCAGATGTCGGTGACTTTCCTTTTTTAAAGTACATTTAGTTTTTCGAAAAATAAATCTTCAACAACGTTAGCAACCCTTATGTATGTTATATAGGAGGAAATATATGCCCACTCTTATGAAAAGCTGAAGTTATTGCAGGCTTTGACGCAGAAAGTGACCAAGCTGAGACCTGTGCTTGCATATTATTTATGTGATTGTTTTCTGCTTTCAGATCGAGGATGCTATGCTCATGTTTGATAAACAAACCAACAGACATAGAGGTGAGTACAAATTCCTAACTTGTACATCCGAGCACCATTTGAAAAATTTACATACCTGTGGAACCGTGTTACTTGGCTACATATACACGCACTGCCGTGCCTCTAGTTTTGCTAGTTTCTTAGGGTGGGGTGAGACTGAGTCCACTTCGTACGTCGGCCACTAATTGGCCTATTGTACCATCCCCGGACGATAGGTGATGAATCTGGAGCAGTCGCTGGAATGAGAATTGGTAGGGGAAACCGAAGTACCCGGAGAAACTCTGCCACAGCGCCACTTTGTCCACCACAAATCCCACATGACCTGACCTTGGCTCGGAATATTCAATAGAATACCAGACGATGGATAAAGATTGAGTGTGGCTTCAATAGAATACCAGACGATGGATAAAGATTGAGTGTGGCTTCAATAGAATACCAGACGATGGATAAAGTCAATGGAATCGGTAATCCCTAGAAATTAAAAGTTTTTCTTTTTCCGCTGCGTCTAACAGAATGTCTCTACTTCGTATAAGATTTAGGGATTTAATTAACCGTCTTCCTTTTTCCCTTGTGTTCACGCTTTCACGTCACTTATTGTATTTGGATGAACATATGTAGATGTGTAGTCTCAGTCTTTCCATATACTCTGACATTTTGCTTACGTCTTGTGCACCAGGACGTGTGAAAGTTTTTGTATTCGGATTTGTGCTATGAAAATATGAAAACGGGTCGTGTTATGTGCACTATTGTGTTCCGTATAACCCAGCACAAAGTTCTATACCTGTGATATAAATATTTCACATTAGCAATAATAATAATAATAATAATAATAATAATAATAATAATAATGTGATATATCAACGCATTGCCAGGCAACGGCTCGATAAACAAACTTCTGCGCAGGCGCAATGACGTCACACTCCAACAGTACATAGATATAACGTGACTTGTTTTCTGTGTGGTCTTCGCTAAGCGGCAATTGAACTGCGTTTTCTGTGTTCTCCGAGCGGAGCCTATATATAACGAAGACCTGTTGTAGCTTAAATTAGTGAGGAGTCCAGGAGGGTTCAGCAGATGAGAGTACAAGGACGAGAATTGAGAGTGTTCTTAGTGAACTGTGATGATTGAATACAGATTAGGACAGAGGAGTACAGAGTGATTGAAGACGAAATAACAAGAAGACTTTATAGTGGTTTGAAGCGCTGGTTTAGATCCGTTGCCAGGAGACGACTAGTGGAGACTGAGAATCCTAATGCGTGTGCAACGGTGAACTGTAAAGTGTGTAAATCAGCGATAGTGCTGTATTAATTGTAATTAATAAAACTGATCATCCGAACTAGAACCCGTCATATTCGTTACGCGTACCATCCTACACATGACATTAACAAAAACAATAATAATACGAGCAAAACGTAAGACATTTCAGAGGTTCACGCACCCATTATGCTTCATATGACAAACCACATTATTAATAACTATCCCCTCCCACAACAAAGCTTTATGTTTTGGTTGTCGGCTCAAAGTTGTGATTTGTTACTGTAAAGAAGGAAAAGAAAAGAGAAATTGCATCGCTTCTGGTATAAAAATGGAGGCCGTTATTTCGTCCATTTATCTCCGCGTAACGTCTTCCTTCTGCTACCGCAAGCTTACTTCGCAGTATCAAGAAAATCTGTCGCATGTTCGGCCCATGTTGTTAGCCTTCCAGCTGAAGTACAGTGTATCGTTGCTATGTGGACTGCATCAAGAGCAGATTAACCGCAACTTTGCCTGCTGCTCTGTGTGTTTGTTAAAGTTAGTCTGTGGAGGAACGTACGTTTGGGCCCTAACTATTAAGGGAAATATTTATGCTTAAACAACAAGTAACAGAAGATTATATAAAATTGTATGATGAAATACACTGAGATTTATATTCTTTTAAATGGGAGGGAATGGAGTTGGTGAAACATTTACTACGCGTGGAGAAAGTATAAATAGTAAGTACGTGATTTTGCCGGTCATGGTAGCTGCTCTTTCTAAGACATGAGCTCTCTTCGCTCTTTGGGAAGCCGGGATCGTGGGTTCGAATCTCACTCAGAGCATGGATGTTCAGTGTTTGTATACAGGTAGAGGCCTTACGACCAGCTGATCACCCGCCCAAGGAGTCCTACCGAATGTCTAAGATCTAGTAAACAACTGGCCGCCCGACACTTTTCACACCCTCGAACCCACCCCTAGTCTGAAATTTTTCTTCTCCGCATTCAAGGTTATTCTTGCCCTTGTTCGAAGTTACGTGACACTTGCTTTACCATCATACACGTGACAGTATTAGAGAACTGTTCACAAAATCTAATCTTTTCGTTTATTTTTCTCATTCCTTTTATTGTTTTATCTCCTCTATTTTGTCATGGTTTATTTAAGGGCGCTATCAGTTCGTACCTTCGACTGATAACAATGAATGAATTAGGAAATATTTTAAGGAAGTGATGTTTGCCTGGTTATAGGGCTTAGAGAAGTGCTACGGAGACTCTCACTCAGAATATCGTCTGCCCTGTGCGTAAAAATAAGTTTATATGCGAAACCTGCAGTAACACTTTTATGAATACAGTTTAGGAACTGTTAGTTTGGAGCACTGTACCGAAAATTGGTTGGATTTGTAGTTTCAGAGCAATAGACTTATCTACTTTTCTTCATTTCCAAGAAGTTGTCGCTAGAAGCTCTGGTCTCTGAGAGGGATATGTTCCGGCTCTGTGTTTATGATGGATATGATATAAAGGATGGAAGGGCGAAAATTTAATTTCAATTTTCGCTGCTAGAAATCTCGACATATTTCTAGTCTTCATTGTCATGCTCGTAGGAGAAGGTAAAAGACAGAGACAGAGGGGAGTAGCAAACCGGGAGTCTTAAGAGGTAGAGAATGTCTCCTGGAATTTATGAGGGAAGATGAGGAGATGAGGAAGGTGCGTCACAACGTCGAGCACCGTAAAGAAGACCACATCACATCTCTTCTACAAAACATGAAGGAGCAAAAGCGCATCGGGCTGATTCAGTGCTCTCAATCGCGCGGTTCCTTTGTAAAATTGTTATGGTCTCTGTGTCTGTCATATTAGATTGTAGATCTGTTGTTGCTTAGTGGGTTTTCTCAGAGTATCTACTTTAATTTTAATATCATGTTTTATTTCCATTTATTAAGCCACTCATTTTTAAAAATTGTTTTCTTCTCTTGCGTTTGTTTCTACAGTGTAACTCAGTGACTGCATCTGGTTATAATTAAAAGTGCAAAGGAATATTAAGATTAATATAAATGTAGTCCGTGCATGTATATATACGTACATACATACACACACATACATACTTGTATATACATGCATACATACACGCATACGACCTACATACACACACATACATACCCTTTTTAATCTTTCATTCTTGACAGGTTTCGAACTAGAGACCGTCTTCAGAAGGATATGTCGATACGGGCAGGAACTACTATTACAACGTGATTGGGCAATATCAATACATACATACAGTATCATCACAATGTCATGAATATAAATCCTGATCCTTTAACTACAGCGACGTGCATGAATACATTAAAATATTTATAAATTATTACAGTTTACAAGTTTACAAGTTTACAAGTGTGGTTTAAAAAAAATTGTTAAAATTTTTAGAACCAGTTTGGTTCGTGCCCCTCTTTAAAGGAAGTTGAGTGCCTACCACCTCGTGGTACGTTGTTTGATGAATAGGACTCTTTATCATAGATTGAGGATGGGTTACGAGGAGGCGTATTTCTGAAAACTAAAAGCCTTTACTTAGCTTTAATATGGATTACAGCTTTCCACCTTCTTAATGTAATTGAATTGAGCAAAGTAGCGAGGTTTTGATACCAAGTACTGGGAGAATACGAATGCATTCTCCGCAGATTGTATATAACTTTCTGTCCTAGTGCATTAGTAGGGAGTCATTTGTCCTCCCCAGTTGTGTTTTCATAATTGGAATCGAAAAGTACCAATTTAGACTTTAGCTTCTTACACTTGGTTGGATACATCAAGCTTTATAACTGAAAAGAAAACAGAAAAAAAGTATTAATTTATTTTCCATTTTCATTTTCTTTTGAGTCGTGTAAAATAAAGTCATGTCTGTTTATGTTCACAACTAATGGGGCACACAGTAGTCTGCGTGAGAGACAAGTTTGAAAGGAAAACCAAGTTTGTAATAAGGGGATGAGGGATTGGTTGCGGAAACGGACACGATGGATGAAAATGTTCGCAGAACACCCCACTTCTCCCTGTCTCTTCTCTTATTAAAGACAATGTCGAAATTTGGGGGGGCGGATTTTTTCCCTACACCCGCTTGCTGCAGTTTCCAAATGTCACAGCTAACTGCTCTTTCAGTTCAGAAGGGTTCCTCTTGCGAGGCAGTCACTTTGTACCATAAATTCCTGAACCAAAGAATCCCTGAGATGCGTGAGATTTGGGGTTCTCGCGTCTTTGAGCGTCAGGATTGCGGTCTTCTGGGATGTAACGTCGTGAAGTTTGGTAGATATGCGCTAACGTCTCCGAGAAACTTGCTACTACGTTTTCAGAGTCCTCAAGACAGAGAAACCAGTTTCCTCAGAAATTTTTGTACATGATTCCCCGAAGGTCGTAATTTTAACGTACGTCAACATTAGCACTTCAACTGCATTAACCAACTTGCTATAGTCGCTGGCTTCCCACCGCGGCGGCCCGGGTTCGATCCTGGGTCTGGTCAAGTTGGATTTGTGGTGGACAAAATGTCGCTGGGGCGGGTTTTCTCCGAGTACTTCGGTTTCCCCTGCCAATCTTCATTCCACCAAATTCTGCATCATCATAATCACCCGGGGCAGGCTACAATAGGCCAATCAGTGGCCGCCGTGCCGAGTGGACCCAGTTGGACTCCACTCCCCACTAAGCGAATTAAATAAAAACCGACTATACTCGTAAATCAATAAAATGATGTTATTCGTAGGACATTTGTTGACTGTGCTTCAGTGACTGATGCAGAAGTTATATAGAATGAAT